GTTACCTTACCCGATGAGAAACAGAACTACATTCATCGTATCGGCCGAGTTGGCAGAGCTGAAAGGTAGGCAATGTTTCTCCTCATGAAATAAGGTCACTCGATTTTACGTTTCACTCTCTTAAACTCTTCCTTTCTTAGAATGGGTCTTGCCATCAGCCTAGTAGCGACATGCAAAGAAAAGGTAAGTTAGGCTTTTTAGCCTTCCTTGACTATTACCATTTACTTGCAGTGAATGTGGAAACCCATTGTTAGTTATTATCTTGTGTTAGTAGAGCAACTTGTTCAAATACACTAAGAACGCAACTTCTGTGGCTGCGAGCAGCCTCCTCTTTAATTGTCAGAAAGAGAAGACAAATACTAAAATCAAAAGTTATTTTGCAGTTATTGGGACCTTGGGAACGAAAGAGATCTCCTAGGCCAATGTTCTACATTTTTGGTGTCTTTTAATGACTCTTCGTTTTGACAGGTTTGGTATCACGCAAACTGTGCAAGTCGTGGACGTGGGTGCTTCGACACACGAGTGTTAAATGCTGGTGGGTGCTGTATATGGTACAATGAGCGCCAGTTATTGGGAGAAATTGAGGAGCATCTTGGTGTTACCATTGATACTGTTTCCAACGACCTACTAGTTCCTACCAACGAATTTGACGGAAAAGTTGTCTATGGAGAGAAGTTGAAAAGTGGTAAGAAATCAGCTTGTTTTATTAAATACTTGCTGACATCTCTCTTCATTTTATCAATTTGTTCGTTGTTTCAATTTTTAGCGGCTCCGGCTTATCAGAGCCATACGGACGTGCTGAAAGTTGCGCTGAAAGACCTTAATAGGATGGAAAAGACGACTCAGATCAGCTTCTTGAATCTTAGATATGGGAATATTTTGAAATGCTAATTCCTCTCTCTCTCTCCGCCTTACTTTTGCGTTATATTAAATTTTGTTTTTTTTTGCGGGTTTGAATTTAAAATGCAGTGTTTTAAACTCATCTCCTCGCTCTTGGTATATTTGCACTGTTGAGGCCATACAACGAAGATATGAGATTAATTGTAGATCTGGTGGGCTTAGAATGTCTCATATTTGAAGAATTGTTCTAGAGGTAGTCGTGGTTTTGAAACTCTTAATGGCCTAACAGAGTGGCTAGTTCTGAGGGGTGGTAGTGCACAAGTTTCTCATGAGGGTAATAAGAGAAGCTTCTTTTCCGACTAGGTAAAGTACTGTTTTAGCGCTTTCGCAAATGGCTTGGAGGTATCTTTATTTGTGGGTTGTACCGGTGACTCAATTTTCAACGTGAATGCCTTCAATCCGCTTAAATCCCGCTTTCTATGAAGAAGTTGGGAATGCTTCCAGTTCACCTAAATGTTTTTAGCGTTAGTGATTCAACTAAACTGTGAAGGCGTGAATAGAGGAGGTGTAGAGTATGGAAGGCTTCAAAAGATCCTCAGAACTAATTGTCTGTCCGTTGGATGCCCAAAGCGTCTGCATCTGACTTAAAGTATCTGAGTAACTGTTTATAGCCTCCATATTAGGAGGCGATTGGTGGATAGAAGGGGGTTTGTAAGTCATCCAATCAGATAACAGAAAGTAGCAGATTGTAATCACAAAAATACAACTCATTAGTCACCACGGTGATGGGGAAAAGCGAATACTGTCTGAAAGTTATATTCGTGAGACGAAAATAGAAGGCTGGGCATTTTGCCTTTGAGACTATTTATGGGGCGGTTACTGGAGCATTGTCAACTACAACTTCCAACTACAGTCCATCTACTTTATTTACCGAGGGTGATAGCGCGCAATATTTGCACAAAATTAGAGACATCAGCTAGGAACCTACTCAAACGCATTAGTTCAGCGTTTGATAAACATTATTATCAAATCTTTAACGTAGCGTCTTTTCAGCTTTAACATCCTTTGTTTCACAGTGATCCATACTTTAAGTTTGCATAAGTCAATCCTCCAATTCTCTTTTTCCGCATCTGTTACCCTTCTGAGTTGGCCCATATGACATTTTTATTGTACCTTCTCTTAAACATCATGTGTGCGATAGACTTACCTCCACGCGGTGCACCCTGGGCAACGTATACTCATACGGTAAAAAAGTCAATTATTCGGCAGTTGACTTCTGACTTCAAACTACCATGACCTCATATTCACTCTTCGGTCCACCCTCTTGAACTTTGATGTTTCTCCCCTCTGTGAAATTCGAAGTCAGATAAGAGCTAATGATAACTATCGAAATGACTGCCATTCGGAATAAATATTTTATAAGTGCTATCAACCTTCATTTTAATGAGACTCAAGATAATTAACTATGCTTATATTTATAATAAAGTAAAATTGCACATATAAAGTTTGCTAATCAGTTTTATATTTGCTAATTTTAAATAGTGGTAGCAATTTACAACTGCCTTTCAAGTAAAATTGTTGAATGCCAGTTAAATAATATTTGATTATGGTGCCTGTACAAAATGAAAAAAGGGCCGACGAACTCGAACTACCAAGAAATGGTTTATGATGAACGATCTCTTTATAACCCTTATAAATAATTCCCTTAATATTCGACAAATTAGTTTACTCAAATAGTAGTCTGGACTTTGGTTTTTTTAGAAGTGATTAAAACAGAAATATAGTAAAATGATATGCGGAAATCATTTTTTCGGAAAAATATGAACAAATTATTTTGAATATTTGATATAACAATTTTTAAATTTTAATGAATTCAAATCAAATAAGCCTTATTTTGCTCATTTTTTGCATTAATTTTAATGAACACAACTTTGAATAATGTCAGCCTGTATTATTACATTTTAAATTAAAACAAAACTTTATTCAACCCCGATTAAACTATTCACTGGGTTTATCAGATAACCTTTTTTTAAATAACTGTACAAAGTGAATTTCAGCTTCCTTCATACAAATTTACATGCTTTATAAATTGAATACATTTCAATAAATAAAATCCCTGAATGCTTCAGTATTTTTTTGAAGAATAAAGTCATTTTACTTGTCGTCACTCTAAAAGGTATCTAAAAAGATATCTTTACAGTCATATATCGTCGGCATTCAACTTAATGAAGGTTCCCTCCGATCCCATCAAATTGGCTGGCGCATCTTTGTAAACTTTCATTAAATTCTTCGCTGAATTTGGACGTTTGCTTTCGTCAACTGAAATCACAATATGGCTTCGATTGTTGACCGCCATTTCAGTTTCTTTGTTTATTATTTCTGCATTGTAAAAAATAAAAATATTCAAATGATATTTATTAAGATGATGTTCTCAAAACGAATTTTTTCAATCTAAATCGATATATTTCTAGGTTAGTACGTTAATTTATTACAATTCTTATCTATAATCGAGAGGGAAGTCCCATCTGTATTCCAATTTGAATAGAATAGATCAACTTATCTAGAATGATGTCAACTATTGTTGGTTTCGCGTTGTTTCTCGAAAAACTATTGTGCTTATAGATTAACATGAATTACCACATAATTCATCGAACGGTTGTGCTTTGCCTCCGTATTCTTGTGGACAGATCTTTTCCAATCCAGGCAATTCATCAAAAGCCGGTTTCAGGCTTCCACTCAGCACAAGTACCTAAATTTATGTAGAACATGATAAGATGCATTAATATGGAATTAAATAATGTAAGTTTATCAACTGCCTCATTATTGCAAATGTGACCAATTTGAATAGACCGCTGCTCTTAAAACAATATTTCATATTTTCTAAGGTAAATCATTCCTCCTAATATCTTTAACGGCCTAATTGACCCCTATAATTCATGAACATATATAAACGCTTAAACATATCTTGCTACTTTTATAAATATTATCGTCGGTTGATTGACTTTGGACGATTACGGGTTAGTTTAGTCTAAATCATATTTATTGTAAATACTGAACAAGATTGTCCAAAAAGCA